GAGCTCAAAAATAACTTTGATTTGATATATTATAAGCCCTGTAACGATTCCTAGATCAAAAATTATAACCATTCTTGTGATTTTCCTCCTTTTCCTGGCTTTTTTTTATCAGTTTTAGAAACATTAGAACCCTAATTCACGTTTTCTAGGGTTTGTAAACCTAGTGGAATTCAAAATCAAGCAATAGTAGTTGGACTCAAACTCAAGGCAAATAGGGAGTTTAACAATCGGATTTTTTTTTTGCTGAATTAAAAACCTAACCTTAATGCCCGACTTTTGACAAAGAAAAGAAAAAGCAATAAACAAGAAAAGGATAGGAAAACCTGACGATCCTAGGCTCTGATACCAACTGATACGAACCACGAGTAAGGAAAATTTCGTTTGATAAGTTAAGTTGAACGCCACAAGGAATCCTTGATAAGTTCGGAAAAGTTTCTTCAAGAACTCAAGAAGAATATCTCACAATATGAATAAACATCAAAACTGTTTTGCATTATCTGAAAGTCAGCCTTAAATAGCCGAAACTTTCATGAGGAGTTTTTAATTGTAAAAGTCCTAATATACCCTTAATGAGATACAACACGCCTAAAACAAAACCTAGAAAGGAATCCGAATTTGACTCAAAATTCTTCATTCTAAACACGCCTATAATGGAATTCAAATTTTAAACTGAAACTTAAAACAAAAAAATAGGATTATAACGAAATCAAATCTTGATCCACAATTTTGACTTGATCCCTTGCTGGAAAACATGCCCACATCCGCTTGGACTTCCCCTTGCACGTGTATCCTGGAATGACATGTAAGTTGGCCATGCAATGGCTCAATTGACGTGTATGACTGATTGGCTCTCTTATGGATTAACTTTGATGAGTAAAACCAGCCTTTGTTCACCCTCAGTAGTGAACACTCTCTCTTCTTGTTGTAGAACTCTCCGGACTAGGTTATTTAACTCTTCTTTGAATCTTTTAGCTCGATTCCTCGTCACCGGACCAACTGGGACTTGAATTGGATCGTGAGTATTCCTTGCATCGCTGATGTCCTCATCAGAAGGACTTTTGGCATACGATTTTCATGTTGTTGGTTGGTTTTTTGTAGCTTGTTCTTTTGACGTAGTTTCACAAAGATTTTAATGTAGTTTCTCAAAGGTTAGTATTCATTTATCTCTAACTCTCACGATTGTATGTCCATTACTGAAAAAGTGACCTACTTTGGACATTAGAATTTTAATTGTGTTGTTACTTGGCAATCAAGATGAAATATGAGTTAACTCGTAGGTGCTTGTTGTTAGTGTCCTGGGAAACTCAAGTGCTCTTGCTCATAAGTTTCTGCCTTTATAGTGAAATTTGTTATGTTGTTTAGTTGTATGGTTTATTTGGTTTTTTCTTTTTGTGCTTCATTAGTTAATCAATTTATATGTTTTAATTAATTAATTGGACTAATTTTGTGACAGGTGAATAGTTACTTTGCTGGAAGAGATGACCTTTTTGTTGGAGCATTTTGTCAAGATGGATTATTTACTTAACCATTTCATTTGGCTAGACGTTTTGGATACTTTGATATCTCTAGCTATTTCTCCGTATTCTTTACTTGTTTTTAATGTTAAAGTTGTGGACAAATGGTGTGACTTGTGTTGTGAACATCTTATTGCCAACTTTGTAGATACTGATAACAATTATTATATTGAATGTTTTTATGTTTTAATTTGAATGTTCCTATTTGGATGTAAGATGTTGCTCGGAATCACCATCTATTTAAATGAATTCAAAAAGATATTAACATAATAAAAGTAGATAAGACGTTAGTATGTATTACTTTTAATATTGGTAAAATATTCAATAATAATTTTAAAAAGTTACAAGAGTATGAATATAACAAGGGAGAAAAACTATTGATCTGTATCGTAACAACGCCAAATAGCTGTAAGAGGATGAAAATAACATGTCTAAAACATTATAAGATCTCAATTCTGTAGCGTTTCTCATATCGTTCTCAGAACGGTATGTTTTCGTAGGACTTTTAATAGCGTCCAATGTCCTAGCGCTCCACACAACGCTATTAGTAGTGCTTAATAGCTTGGTTAGCTATTGATAATGATATTTGTTGTAGTGAAGTGAATATATTTGATAAAATAACATTAATTTATTATAGATTAGTAACACCAATGATGATTATTTCAAAGAAGAGTAAAGTAAATTAAAATAAATAAATAAAGATCTATCAAAAGAAAAAAAAAATGTTGTGACAAGGTCAAGGACTTTAAATAAAAAAAAAATGTAGCAAAAGCAACTTTTAGAAATGATCTTGATTATGCTTCTTTAAAAGGAGGCGCAAATTTTTTTTTTTTTTTTTTTTTGACATCAGCGACCTAAACAAACCCGTTTAGTCATAATGTGAAAATCAAATAATATCTTGAGCACTTGGAATGAAAACTTCTTTATCAAATTATGGATTTAAGTAATAGTGAAGATCAGTTTGTTCTCGTCATATTAACTAAACAAATGTCCAGCCTGACTTTGTCCCTAGTCAAATCTATTCCAATTTTGCAAGTCATTAATGGAAAAATTCAGGGTGAAACGTTTTCTTTTTTATACTTTTTTTTAAAAGGGTTTTCTTTTTTATGTATACTTAAAATAAGCAACTAGGTACAAAAGTTTCCATGAATCTAAAATTTGAACAATACTCATGTATTTAGGTGGATAACAGAAGAAATAAAAGCAAATTTCCACTATAAGATTTTATTTCTTCTGGTTAACAAAAATGAAATTCTCTTCCATCTTCATGTTATAGAAAGGGATGGTGTAATGATGTTGTTTAATTCATTGCTTGCTTTGGAGGGTCAAAGATTATACAAAAAGTTTAAAATTTTGATCTACAGCTTTAATACTAATCAATCATTTACAAATATCTTATGGTACTGGGGGCACTTTAAGCTTTTTACTTAGCAATCAAATTTCTATAGCTGTCTGGCATTGAATGTTGTTTTGGACTTTTTGAGATTTATAGTTTGACATTTCACTAGCTTTCAAATTAATGAAAACGTAGGAACAAAAGTGAAGATAAGATCATTGTTAAAACATTATTTGGTAATCCAATCACAATAGTTTTTAAATTATGTAGATGCTTAAGTGGTAAAGTACAATTACATGTGTAAGTAATCAATTTTTTTTTTTTAAAGGGGAAAGTAATCAATATTTTTAAACTCAATTTAGTAAAGTAATCAATATTTTTAAACTCAAATTAGTACTGAGGTTTATGTATTAGGTTATGATGTTTAATTATTATTGATTGGAGGTGATCATTGCATGTGTCATGCGGGTACTCCTTCAACCACCCCCCACCTTACTTTGTTTTATTATTAGTATATTTTTCATACACTATTTGTCCGAATTTATCCACAAATATAACGGATTAAAATCTTTTTATGGTAAAATCGGAGCAGAGATGAGGAATTTAAATTTTTTAGAAAAAATAAATAAGGAGTTAGAGATAGAGATGCATTTTTTTTATGCCAAATAGATGACAAATCTTGTTGTTAAAGCATCAAAGTGAACAAAAGCTGGCTATATTGTTAAATAAGCTGGCCTAGGAAATCTATAATAATGAGTAGAACTGTAGTAATTGTTGCACTATTGTATGTGTGTTGAGGGTTTCACTATTTTATGTCTATCTGTATATAAAAAAAATGTTAATGTGTACTTGTTACAGTGCACTTTTCAACTAAAACTACGTCGTCTTAGTTAGTGTTTTCTTTTTAATTTTACCTTAATTTTTTTATTTTTTGTTTTAGTCCTTTTTATTTTTTTTTTAATTTTTGTCCTAAAATTTTATTTTTTTCGTCTTGGTTCATTTTATCCTAAAACTTATTTTTTTTACTAATCGTCCTAAACTTATTTATTTCTTCATTTTGGTCATTTTTGACCTATTTTTTATTCTTACCTCAAAACTTTATATTTTCGTTTTGATTCCTTGTACCCTAAAACTATTTTTTTCTTCATTTTAGTCTTTTTGTAACTATTTTAGGCTTCTTGCCCTAAAACTTTTTTTTTTTTTTCCATTTTAGTTCCTCTTTAGGATTTTATATTCAAATATTATATGCTTTAAATATTACTTCAATAACGAAAACTTAACACTCGATTACTCTTCAAGTGCATAGCACGTGGCGTTCAACTAGTACTCACAAATAGAAAAAAGAAAATTATATTGTTTTATTGATTGGTTTTTGTCACACAGTTTATTAATGGTTCATGAAACATTAAATCTTATTAGTCCCAATCTGATCTAGTCAGTATTTTTTTTAAAAAGATTTGATCCATTTAGTAGACAGTGCTATTTTCATGAGACAACTATGAAGACGTCCAGTAAATATGATTTTTTTTCATGACAAGTATTGAGATTTTTTTGGAGAAAATTATAGCTAACTAATTATATCAAAAACTAGTTTAATTAATAAAATTAGGTAACTACGAATTAACTAAATATACTTTCAAAAAAAACTTTATAGAGTTTAATTACGTAACAACGAACTCCAAAAAACCTATTATTAATCTCCCTCATGTTTTTTACTCTCACTTCACTCGCAAAAGAAAAAAGAATTCTCTCTCTTATCGTTTTCCTCTTTTGAAAAATAATAACAAGAAAATAATTCTCAAAATAAAAAGACAAAGAAAAAAGAAAAGAAAATGTGGAAAGTAATAACGGCTTTAAAAAAAATAATAATAATAACGGCTTTTAAGGAAATCTTATTAAAAGTAGGTGGCGCGAAAACAACGACTTCTTACATTAGTCCCATTCAACTGAAACCGTTTCCCGGCATTTATATATTCATAATATATTTCAATCAATAATTATTAACGACTTCTCAAATAAATTTATTATTAATTAGTGACATTTCTCATTTATTTATTTATTTTTATTATTTAGTAATTTCCTTAACCGCCTCGATTTCTTCCCCCCTTTCTCTCATCGCTCTATCTCTCTCCTCTCTCTCTCCGACTTAGTATCCGATTCAAACGAAGACTTCCCGCCGGGAAATTTCCGCCTTTCCGATCACCGACCGGCGACTCTTTCCTTCTCCGGCGATCGCTTCGAGCCATAACCGTCTTTGTCTCATTTCGATTCTGATTTGCCGAGAGATCGATCGTTTGAATTCGGCGTTGCGAATTCGGTGTTCGTAGGGATTGGTTATTTGGATTTTAGAGCGATTGAATTCTGTGTTTAGAGATTTTCCATCCGGTTAATTTAGAGGTGAGAATTTCTTTTGTTTCGTTTTTTTTTTTTTTTTTTGGGGGGGATTTTTCGCTATTTGGAGGGATTTCGATTTTTATCACTTTTTTTTTTGTGCAATCGATAAATATTTATTTGTTGAATTTTTTTCTGTAATTTGAAAGTGATTTAATCCTTGTTCGAGAGAATTCATTATAGATTTTGGTTTTTTGGAGTTTGGATTTTGTGTATTGGTAGGATTTCAATTTTCTGCAAAACTTTTTGGTTATGCAGTAATTGAAAATTATTTTTTTATTCTTTTACGACTTTATTAGGAGAAGTATTTATATTACAACTAGTTTGGTATTTTTGTTGAACTAAATACAAGAAAATGGATATAATTGGTTTAATTTGGTGTCAACTTTAGGCTTTTTCTTTTCGATTCAATGAACAATCTCTTTTTCTCCTTTGTTTTTAAATTTTGCTGTGGAGAGATTGCATGAGCAGTGAAACACTGAGCATGTCTTCCACAGGAGAGACACGAACCTGTTAAATGCAGACATTTATTTCACTAATAATTTTGTAATTAATGGAAAAAAAAGACCTTGATTTTGTTTTTCCAAATTAAAAATTTGAAAGTTTCCTGGTTTTTATGGATTTTCGTTCCTAAATCTTGAAAAATGAATTCTAGAATCAAAACAGAAAATGATATTTTAACAAAAATTTCCCATGTAACTCTGTCTCCCAAAAATTATTTTGTGTCTATTTTATTCATAATTTTGTTTGTGGGGATTTTTGTATATTTTTACACTGTAAAAATTCATGGGGACGGACAACAATCTCTCTTCCACGTGGACCTCCTTGTCTCTTCCCAAATTCCCATTTCCCCAAAGGACATTAACATCTGCAAGTTCAATCTTTTAATAATTAGGGCAATAAAATATGGTTGTGTAAAAATAAATACAAGTAGTTAATAGAGAGATTTGAGTTTTTTTTTTTTTTCTTTTTTGAACTTGTAAAAGCAAAAATAAAAATTTTAAAAAAAACGACATAAATCATGATAGGGAGAGTCCACATGTATAGAAGCTGATCAGAAGGTGCATAATTTTGTCTTTCTTTAAGAAAAAGTTGGAGTGAAAGGGAAAAATGAGAGCTTTTTATTGTGCAAGTTTTTAAATGCTTCCATTTTAGTTTCCCTTTCATGAAAGAGAGTGGGGAGAGAAGAAGAGTGTATAGTTTAAGGTCAGTGGGGTTGTGTTTTAGAGTAAACCAATTTCCAGCCTAGCCGACCATGGCACTCCCGTGAGAGGGACAAAAGGGAAATAAAAAAAAAAATAAAAAAAAATAAAACAGAGAGAGAGAGAGAGAGAGAATCCCTTATCCTACGCACCCCTTCTTGAGCTTATCCTACACCCTCTTCTCTCCCCAACCCAGTAGTCTACTCTTCCAGTCTCTCCCCCAATTGCTGAGGGGATCTCTTTACCCTGCAATGCAGTTTATGGGTTAACTATCTAAAGTCAATCTCTAATGATAACTGTTTATGCACGTTGCGCCATTTTCCGCATTTCTCTGAGACCCGTTTTTCGACAAATGTAGTTTAACCCTTCTTTGACCATCTTCTCCCATGGCCTGATCTGCATCAATTTTGGGCTTATCTTGCCAAAAGAACAATACTCATTTGCGTTTATGAGTTGTAATCCTGGTACAGATACTCAATCAGATCTGCTTCTGTGTAAAGAAGTGTACTAACTCAATTTTTCTTTCCCTTTTTCTTTTCCAGGCGTTTATATTCTTTGCTTTTTCTCCCCTGCCGAGTCATTTGCATCTTACTTTCTTAACATTTGTGCATCTGTGGCGGATTTATTACAGGGAAAAGGATCATCTTTTTGAGCGGCTTGTGTTATGCCATTGAATGCGGAATAGATGAAAGCCAAGGCAAGGCTGTCGTTAGATTCGATTGGTTTGGTTATATGAAATGATCGGTTTTATCAATGTTGTCTAGTTTGATTAGAGTGGATGGATGTATGCAAATCAGATTTAGCATTTCGGAAGCAGAGAACAGTGGAGACCCCAAGACCACCGTTGGTTCCCTCAGAGAAGAACAATGTCCTCACCACTGGCCGCCTTCGAACGAGAGATGTTTCTTCTAGGTACAAGTCACCGTCTCCGTCTCCGTCGACGCCCTCTGGTCCCCGGCGTTGCCCGTCACCGAACCTCACGAGAACAGGACCCACATCTTCTCAATTGGTTCAGAAAAGGTCAATTTCTGTGGATAGAAGGCGGCCCTCAACACCCCCTTCACCCCCACGTCCGTCCACGCCGGTTCAGGATTCATCTGTAGATGTGCATTTAGCATCCAGAAGGGTAGCCGGTGGTCGAATGCCGGAGAGTTTATGGCCTTCCACGATGCGAAGTTTGAGTGTTTCCTTTCAGTCTGATACAATTTCTATTCCCGTTAGTAAGAAGGAAAAACCAGCGACTAATGCTTTGTCCGAACGGACTCTACGGTCCTCTTCTAATGTGGTGCATAAGCAGGTCGAAACGCCTAGTGCTGTGCGAAAGGCAACGCCAGAGAGAAAGCGAAGCCCGCTTAGAGGGAAAAATGTGGCTGATCAATCGGAGAATTCTAGACCAGTGGATGGTTTGCATAGCCGTTTGATAGATCAGCATCGATGGCCTAGTAGAATAGGTGGAAAGGTGTCTACCAATGCGCTTAATAGAAGTGTGGATCTTTCTGATAGGACGGGTAGACCTCTTGCCACGCCTGTTCCGACAACCGGGTTGTCGTCATTGAGGAGGGTCCCTTCATCAGATGGAATGGGGAAACCTCTACAAAAATCTTCTAGTGACACCGCAAGGCTGTTATCACTTGAGGATAGTGCCAGAGCAGGATTCGGAGCAAATTTAGTTGATGATAATTCATTGCAGGTATCTGGAGCTCACAAGCTTGTTTCTACAATTTTATCAGATAGATTAGTTTCCGCAAACTCTGTGTTCAGATCTCAGTCTTTGCCCTCTGTCGGGTCGAGACCACCCTCTCCTAGCAGGACCTCAATGCTGTCATCTTCTGTTTCAAGAGGTGTCAGTCCGTCTCGAACAAGACCGTCTACTCCACCTTCTAGAGGCGCTAGTCCATCTCGGATAAGGGCATCAACCACGTCTAATCAACCAGCCAATTCAAATTCTGTGCTTAGTTTTATTGCGGATTTTAGGAAGGGGAAGAAGGGATCAAACTATATTGAAGATGCTCATCAGCTACGGCTGCTATACAACAGATACATGCAATGGAGATTTGCTAATGCCCGCTCACGGAGAGTTCTTTATTTCCAGAAAGTAACAGCGGAGGTAGGATTTTGATTTCACTATTGCATTTCATGCCTATTTTAACCTTTTCAATCGTCTCATATGGTGATTGTTGGTAACAATATGTAATGGAAAGATACTCTAAGGATTCTTGTTCACAACACCTATGCACGGAGGGTTAGATATTTGCAGTCTGTTGTATTGACTCTCTGTTAATAATGCAATGGGGAAATGTCTTGTATTCTGTAGTTGTAGCAAAATTACTATTTTCCAGAAGTTGGTCAGTTTGTGTAGAAGACATCCTTTCAATTATTGTTTGTTCTCTAAACTTTTACTTATTTCAGTGTAGTTGAAGCTCTGCAATGTTCTAATTTTACGTACCTTCATTTGATGGTGCAGAGAACTCTATTCAACGTCTGGAGCGCTACACTAAATCTGTGGGATTCAGTAATCAGGAAAAGAATCAATCTTCAGCAGCTGAAGCTTGAGCTTAAACTGAATTCAGTTTTGAATGATCAAGTAATGCCTGTTTCTTGCTATGATGATCCGCTTAATTCATGACATTTATTCAATATTATATCGGAACATTTTCTGAGTCAAAAAGGTTTTACTATGCATTTTCTTTTTTTAATCCATATAATTCATTAATTGTTAAAGCTGACAATTATTTCCGGGCTTTACTGAGTATGGCTTTTATCTTCTTTATTTTCTTTTGCATTTTTTATTCTGTCCACATCCGAGCATGACCGTTTGGTTAGACATCTCGATGTGCTAAATCCTTGGTTAACCATGATGATTCAGATGGGCTACCTTGATGAGTGGGCTTTGCTTGAAAGAGATCATATCACTTCTTTATCTGGGGCTGTAGAAGATTTGGAGGCGAGCACTCTTCGCCTTCCAGTTACCGGAGGTGCAAGGGTATGTTAGTTTATATCAGTTCACTGGAATTCAATTTTGAAAATAAAAGCCTGGGCGTCATTTCATATCCTTCACTTTTGCAGGCAGATATTGATTCTTTGAAAGTAGCTATCTGCTCAGCTGTTGATGTGATGCAGGCGATGGCATCATCTATTTGCATTCTGCTTCCAAGGGTGAGATTCACATTTTGTTGACACTTCAATGATCGGTGCAATTTTTGTATCCTGATAGTTTACCCCCAAAAAAAAAAATTTGAATCGTTATTCTATGATTATTCCAATTGGGATATGAAAATTTATCATAATCACATCGGTATTTGACTAGTTAAGAGGTTAAACTTAATCCTGTAAGTTGTAACCTGGTGTGAATATTTTTTATTTGTGGTGGAGTCAATGCACAAATACATTTCATTACTATATGGTGTTTTAGCTAATGTACTAGTGTTTTAGCTAATGTACTAGTATGTTTCTATGTATTGGTCTGTTCCTTCTTTTGTTATCACCTGTTCTGTTGTTAACAGGTTTTTGTCTCGCTTATGCCCTTTTTGCATCTGGCGTTCAACTTAGCATGAGTTTATGTTATTTCTTGTAGGCGGAGAGCATAAACAGTTTGGTCTCAGAACTTGCTACCGTGGCAGCTCGAGAGAAATCGATGCTTGGCGAATGCGAAGCACTATTGGCTTCAACAGCAGCTATGCAGGTAAAAGCAGGAAGGCAATTTTTCCATTTTCTTTTCATTGTTAGCATTAACCAGGTAGCGCTAGGAATATTTTCAACAGTATGCGCTTTCAGCTCTAAAATGGTTGGTTAGTCAAGTATCTAAAATAATTTAAATAAGATTTTCTCTAGGATTCCTAGTCCTATTTTTTTTTCTATTATTTAATAGTTTCTCAATATCAACATAGAAAATGAGGATGCCATATTTTTCCTTACCTTGTTCTATTACCTTTAAACTTTAGTATTTATACCTTATCATTGTTGGTATCAAAACAGGTGGAGGAATGTAGCCTAAGGACACATCTCATACAAAGAAACGAAGAATTGGGAAGTTTAAGATAGCCAATTTTGGCATTCAAGACATCTCCATTAACTCTCACTAGCTGCGGCCATTTGAACAGAGACAAATTGGTGGTGTCTCTTCGGTTCTCTGTGAATGTATATTGAGTTTGTGTCTGCTTTTTTTTTTTTTTTTCTTTTTTTAATTGATTTTTTTATTTCTTCCCTGGAATATTGTCCTTTTTTAATCAACCTTTTTTCTTCTTAACAAGCAATGAGCTAATATAGCTTCATGCTTTCCACGTGTAATTTTTCCTCTTTTGTATCACGCAAGTAAAACAAAAGAAAAAAAAACAAAAACAAAAACAAAAGCAGAAAACAAAAATGCAAAGAATGAACAAAAGATTGAGATTCAATGTAGATGTAAAGGTTCAGTATAAATGGAAAAGGAAATGCTTTGGAAACAGGATTCTGTACATGTTGATTTGGATATGATTTTGCATGCATTTGTTGTAAATAAAAGAAAAAAAAAAACACTCAAAATAGAGGAATAGAGGATGAAATGTAACTTATCAATGTAAAATATATATGTGTGTGTGTGTGTGTGTGTGTGTGTGTGTTTGTGTGTGTGTGTCCCGTTTGCCTTGTATTTAAATGTGTCCACTGCCATGAGTTGCTTCTGCGGGAAGTGTTTGCGAGAACAGAATAGTCGTTTGATGTTTCATCCACTCTTATCATTTTCTTTCTTTCTTTCTTTTTTATTTTTTATGATGAAATTGTAAAAAATGTGAACTTTTAACTGAGTGATAGATTTACAGTAAGCATGTATTATTATAGAGAAGTGATCATTTTTTTTGTGGTAATGATAACTACACCAATTGAATATGATAGGTGTTTACTTTCAGGAGTAGGGATTCGAAAGTCAATCATACATATATTTAGAGCTTGTTTAATTCACTGATTTGAGTTTTTAATTTGAGTTGAGATGTAGCAAAACTTGAATTCTAAACTCGAATCGGTAAAATAAATGGAACCTTACTTATATATATATATATATATATATATATATATATATTTGTATTGAAAAATGAGATTAGCACTCTCCAGATTAGGACTCTCAATGCTGATAGTAATATTAAATTACGATCTTACTCCTATATTTTATGTATTGTTTATCTGATGTTACAATAATTAGCCTAAAAAGTATTAGTTTTATCAAAATAAATATAAAATTTATTTTGTTTATTCGAAGAGGTAATGTAATTTGAATTTTGACACTTTATTTTGTTCTATTAATGGGAGTCGAATTCAGTAAGTAAATATAGTATCACCATATCAAAAATTGGATTCAATGGTAGTATAAGTAATCAAAGAGTGGTAACTCATGCCACGGGAGGAAACTTTGCGATGAAGTATTTAATAGTAAATATAGTATTTATTAAATTGAGAATTAGATTTATGGAAATATTTACTGATATATATAATATTTATCATATTAGGAATTGAATTTAGTAAAGTATTTATTGATAAATACAGTATTTATTAGATTTAAATTTGAATTTAGTGAACTATTTACTAGTAAATACAGTATTTATTAGATTCAAAATCCAAAATTAAAAAATAAGTATATCACACAATATTAATCTAACGGTTATAATAAATTAAATAGTTAAAAAAAATTAATGTAATTATCTATATATAAATATATATATCTAATTTGCACAGACCACCATACGCCCACCGAACATTTCATAGTCAAGTAACGTCTCACGGAAACTTTTTCAAGTCGTTTGCCTATCGGAGAGAATAATGAGGGATGATATAGGAATAATGAGATGTGCATAGATTACTTAGGATTTAAAGTTACATTTATCTTTAGGCTTCATTCAGAAATAGTTTAAATACTACGTATAGATTTGCATTAGGATTTTGAATTAGAATTGCTTTAAGATTTGTCTATAAATTCAGTAATTTTCTCAAGATTTATTCTTTTTATGTTCATTATTTTCAAGACAAAACTTGATTAGTAATATTGAATATGTATATTTCTCTCTCATTCTCTATAATTGATCCTCTTCACTTTTTCCTCTCTTGTTAACTCTACATCAAAATCATTAGACAACTATGGACATATTTGTTTGACTGTACACCGTATTATATAATAATAAATATAAATAATACAATATTTAGTGTGACCATCATATTATATAAGTTAATACGGATAGTAAATTAATATGGTCTATGTCATATTATTCAATACGGCTCATTTTTTGCATACTATATTGTATTATATTATAGCGGATTCATGATTCATGTTAGGGTTAGACGTAATTGGGGGTCGGATCGGGGTCGGGCCAATATAGAGATATGCTAAAGCCTATAATTGTTTAAAAATTGAGGGACACAATGCAAATTTATTTTTTTTAAAAAGTACATTTTGACCCATCAATTTTTATAAAATTACATTTTGACCCTAAAAATATTAAAATTTATATTTTAATCCCAAAACTTTTGAAAATTTATATTTTGACCCTAAAAATTTTGAAACTTTATATTTTGACCTCAAATTTTTTTTGAAAAATTAGATTTTGACTCCCAAAAATTTTAAATTTTATATTTTAACCCCTTGTACAATATGTCATGATATCAAACACCTTATTGTATTATGATAATATAAGACAATACAATACACCTTATACAATATAAGCTACTAAACATGGCCCATATGTATTATTTATTATCCTGATATCATAGTAATTTATCTTAGTGCATTATAATAAGTGTACAATTTACATTTCTAAATTAGAACAGTAATTTCACTCAAAGGGCATATATACAATTTATTCAGTAGATATTTTGTGCCAACGATGTATGATTCCGTATCCCTTTTTTAAATAGCATGTTTTGTATTAACTTACCTTGAAATGAGGTTTGACGTACCATGAAAATAGTTGCTCAAAAGCTTTTGGGAACTTATGTTAAATGAGATGATTTGATAAAATGATTTTGTAGTTGAAAATGGTTTATCAAAAGTGTTTTGAGAACCTGGATTCAAATGAAAAATGGCACACTGAGAAAAACTTGATGTAGCATTATTTGAGAAATTTTATGATGAGGGTGTTAAAAATTGATATGACATGATTTAGGTAATGATGTTGAATTATTTTAATATTTGGACATATTTTTGCATAGTTTTCAATATTATTTGAAATGTTTTAAATTGTGAATTGTATACCTGAGGCCTAAGTTCTATGACCATGTCAACCTGATATACATAGGATATAGAGATTATATCACCATTTTCTAGCCACAATGCTTGAACTACCTTTATGAGTCCCTCAACTTAAGCCAAGCAAAGAGGTGAACGTTTGGTATAATTCAATTTGAAAGCAAGTTTCGGCTTGTGGGAAAAAAGTTGTCAAGTGAAATCAAGGTGATCCTATAAACCTTATGTGTGTGGATACGTTTTATTGAAGGCAGAAAGTGAAATCCTACTCAGGATCAATGGATCTTTTTTGTAACAAAGAGTTGAAGGTAAGAAAACATCCTTTAAATGATGCTTCATACTAGGTTGGGCTGGACTTAATACTTAGGCCCATGGGCGGACTTGCAGAAGATCACAGACTGAGCCAGACTTGGGCCAGATTGGGCCGGGCCAGTCAGTGCAGTTATTGAGAGAGATAGAGATTATTATTTGCATAAGCTTCAAGTTCTGAACGTATTTGATTAGCAAAAAAAAAAAAAAAAAAAAAAAAAAAAAAAAAAACCAATAGAGAGATAGAGATTATTATTTGCATAAGCTTCAAGTTCTGAACGTATTTATAAAAAAAAAAAAAAAAAAAAAAAAAAAAAAAACAAATGACTCATTATAGTACAGTTCAAATGTTCAATGTTGAGTATTACTCAACTAGAACACAGTCACATAGTTACATGTCATTCTTCTCATTCTCAATTTGTTATTTGTGTCACGTTCACTTCACCGATTCGAGTTTTGCTGCAGTAAAAAGCTCTCAGAAACAGTCACATCTAACTTTTTTGCTACAGTAAAAAGCTCTCACATGAAGTCACATCTCAATTCAAATTTAAAACTCGAATCAGCGAACTAAACGGGCCGTTGGTTTTCATAAGGGAGACAACTCCTCGACAATCCAATAGAGAACTCATCGACGTGGAGCAAAATGATAAGGGCAGCTAATAGAATCAGTGCTAAAGACGATACCTTCTGGATGTAAATCAATATCAACTAATCATTATTGAGGGTCACTATATGGCCATACCCAGAATGTAGGTAACCCCAAAAGCCATGACCGCCACATGCACATGGTGAGAGTCATAAGAAACATAAAAATGTGTTGCTAGGACGACCTTTGTTGATGAGGAGAAGAATGAACACTAAGCGATACGAAAAAAGAAATACTGTTATAAATCATGAAGGGTCTGTACAAGTATGTTGATTAAGAACATGCTAAAATTGAGGTTCTGACAACGCACATATTTTCTTTGCTGCAATCATAAATGTTGCTCATGTCTCTATCTATTGGCTTCTGCCATAGCTCGCCCGATGGTTTTAAAATAGTTTGTATGTCATTGTTGCGACCACAGTATGTACGACCCAGTTTACCGAGCCGTTACTTACCGTGACTTAATCTTAAATTCTTTAAAACCATTTTAACAAGAAACTTGGGTACCACAATTTTAGAATTTTGCTCAAAACTTTAAAACTAAGTTTTCTTTTCAAAAATCTTCTTACTTGCTTTGATATTTTCCTTTTCTTATGCAGCATTGAGATATAGCACTTTCTTCGTGCATATATACTGGATACTCGTTTGCCATAGTATTTTTATTACATGCCAAATATAAATACTCTATTTTGAAAATTAACATAGTAGTATGCTAATGCCATAGTCTGCATCCTTAATAATATACTAATAATAATTTAATAAGTTTTGCTATTTCAAAATATTTTAAAAGGCACGTGCGAAAAATTTTGTTGCATGGTGGCATCATTTACCTATCCTCTACCACTATGCCTGCTGTTAATCCATCATATTTAATGGTCGTAGGTTTCTTACCTACAGTATGAACAAACTTAATGAACAAAAACTTAACAAGTATACAAAACATTTTACATACAAGCAATATATGAAAATATGCTTGACATTTTATGCTCAATTATAAAAGCATGTTTTATTACTTGTGGGCCTTATGCTCGTACTGATTGCGTGCAACCAATTAAGCGCTGAGAGAGCTACCTAAACATTTAGTCTGATGACACTCAAGGTCTTACTTAAATTACCTGGTTAATCTCCTGTCATCATGAGGTAGAAGAATTCTAACCTCTCATCTCCCAAGATTAGAGGGTAGCACGACACTTTGCTCCTTTCTCTTTACCTTAGCCTCTTACTAAAAGTGAACATGCAATTATAATCATGTCATGTAGGCATAT